TACCCATTTTTGATGGGATATTTTCATCCCAAATAGGAAAATATGTGTTCTTCTCCAGTGCATAAGGAAGATTTCCCAGTATAGACCACACAATGAGTCACACTCGTTGTCCCTTCCCTACTATCACAAAAATAGAAACCATATCAAGTATGTTTTTTTAGGCCATGATGCTCGGAAGGTGGAAATTAACTATAAGAAGAAACACTTATAGGAAAAACACAGAAAAAGCTCTAACAGTTGGAAATTAAACTTTCACACTTTGTGTTAAAGAGGAAATCAAAGAATAAATTGAAAAAAATTCTCAAAATGATTGAAGACACACACACTATAAGTACCAATGAAACAGAAAAGGCATTAATAAGGATGAAGTTTATAGTACTGCAAGATTTCATCAGGAAACAAGAAAAACTAAAATACGCTGATTTTATAGCTCAAGAATCTTGAAAAAGGGCAAATGAATCCCAAAGTATACAGAAGGAAGGAAAAATATGCATTAGAGCAGACACAAAGCATAGATAAAGAAAATCACGTACAAAGGGTCAGCAGCAACTTTTTTCCTAAAGGATAAACAAGATAAACAGACTTTTAGTTAGGCATATGAGGAGAAAAAACAGAAAATGCAATAAATTAGACCAGAGATAAAAAGGGAGAAATCATAGCAGACACCATAGAAATGAAAAGGAGCGTGAGATTTTACCACAAACAACTCTAGCCACTAAGCTGGAGAAACTAAAATAAATGAATTATTAGAAACATAAAACCTTTCAATATTGAACTAGGAGCAAGTAGAAAACCTGAAGAGACCAATTACAAGTAAGGAAATTAAAAATGTAATTAAAAATCTCCTCAAAAACAAAAGCCTCAGTCCAGCAAGGTTAACAGCATTGCCCTAATAACAAAAGCGGTTAGAGATACTACTGAAAGTAAAAATTACAGACCAATATTAAAGATAAGTCCTCAACACATCTTACCAAATCAAATACAACAATATATTAAAAGAAACATGCATTGTTATCAAGTGGGATTTATTCCAGGGATAAGAGGATAATTTATGAAAATATATTAATGTTATACATCATCTCAACAAAAGAAAGGATAAAGATCATATGATCCAAGCAATTGATGCAGAGAAATAATTTGATCATAGTCAGAATTCATTCATGATAAAAAAAATCTCTCAACAAAATTGGAATAAAAGGAAGGTACTTGAAGTTAATAATGGCCATTTACAGCAAGTCAGTAGTCAACATTTCATACTCGGTGACAAAAAGCAAATCCCCCTCTCTGAGATCAGGCACAAGAAAAGAATTCCCACTTTCTCCACTATTATTCAACATTATTTTGAAAGTCCTTACTTCCAAAGTAATTAGGGGTCAAATGGGCATCAAAGGAAAACAAATAGGAAAGGAGTTAAATGATCACTATTTGTAGACACAAGATAATAAACACAGAAGACTGCAAAACTCTCAGAAATAATACAGCAAGGTACCAGGATACAAAATCGATACAAAAGATAGATTATGTTTCTATATGCAGACAATGAGCTAAAAGGAAAAGAAATTTAAAGGGTAACTCCAATTTTAAATAGAACATAAAATTCCTAGAAAGCATCTTATGAAAGGAGATGAAAGACCTTTACTTCAAAACTCTAAGTAATATTGGAAAATTAGAAAAGGAGACCAGGAAATGAAGAAATATTACAGTTTTTAATGGGTTGGAAGAGTTAGCACTGTTAAATGTCTATATAATGCCATGCATTATATCGATTCAATAAAATTCAATCCAATTCTCATCAAACTGTTGATGGCATTCTTCAAAGGCTTAAAAATAAATGCTACTATTTTTTTTTATGCAATCTTTAAATTCTTCAAATTGCCAAAGCCATTCTGAAAAAAAAATGAGAAAAGGATGGGAGGTAAATTATTCTATGGCTTTAAACTATAAAGTTTCAGTCACCATGACAGTGTGGTTCAGGAATAAATGTAGATTCTCAGAACAATATAATAGCATTGATAACCCGAGAGAGCTCTCAGATACATGGACAATTTAATCTAATCTAAAAAGCTAAACTTTTCATTTGTTCTTTGTTTTCCTCTTTAACTTAATGTTTGTTTCTAAAGATGCGTTCGTTTTTTGTTAGAACTTATTCAGGTTTTCTTTTCATAGTTATCTTCTCGTCCCCTCCCCTCCCCTCCCCCCCTTCCCATACCTATGTGACTTTGTCTCCAGTAAAATATGATTTCTGTTTTGGTGATGCAATGAATACTCATACTTTGCCCCAACATGCTGTCTATCCTGGAGAATATTCCATGTTCACTGGAGATGTATATTCACCTGGAGGAGCCGGGGTTAGAGAGTCCTTACATGTCTGTTAATCTTAGCACTTTCAGTTTTTGTTAAAGTTCTTGTTGATATTCTGTCTGGCTGATCTGTCAACGGATGAGGGTGAGGCATTAAAATCTTCCTCATCTATTTTGTTGCCGATGTATTTCCTAAGGTTTACTAACAGTTGCATTATAAAGTTTGTTGCCTTTTTTATTGCATATATGTTGATGAGTATATTCTCTTAATATATCACTCCATTAAAATAGTACGAATGTCTGTTCCTATCCTTAACACATTTTTTAATCTTGTGTACTATATTATATGATTTAAGTGGCACATCACCTTTTTATAATCTTTTGGGGGAGTTGAGGGCCACACCTGGCTGTACTCAGAGTTCACTCCTAGCTTTGTGCTCATCAGTCACTCCTGATGGAGACTGGGGGACCACATGTGGTTCCAGGGATCAAACCTGAGTCAGACACATACAGCTACAACAGTACCGTACTCTCTCTCTCTCTCTCTCTCTCTCTCTCTCTCTCTCTCTCTCCTTGCCCCCATTTTAAAGTCTTACATTAGTCTTTAATGACTGTTTTCTGACCATTCACTCTCAATCTGTGTTTCTCATGAGAGTTAAAATGATTCTCTAAGCAGCAGAAAGTTGGATTTTGTTTCTCAATCCATCCAGCTAATCAGTGCCTTTAGATGGAAAATTCAGTCCATATTTAGAGAAAATGTTGATATTAAGGGATTTGTTGCCATTTATCTAAGAGTATTTTGGTTGCTTTTTCTATCTCACCTTTGCATTTTATATGATGCCAGTCAGTGGCCCTAGAAGATCTGGCTTAGATGTGACAACAGCAGCTGTTCTTTGAGATGCGTTGATCATTCCTTCACAGCTGACTGGTAAATTTGCTTGGTTGAAGGATTCGTGGTTGGAGGCTCTTTTATTCAATGTTTTGAGTATATAATTACATCCTCTCTTGCTTGTAAAATTTGACTTTAACTTGAAAATATGGTATGAATTTTATGATTTTTTGAGTCTTTATTTCTTTTCTTGCTTTAAGGAATCTAAATTATGTATTTTATTCTTGCCATTTTAATTATAGTGTGTCTTGGTGGGTATTGTTCTGTTTGGGTTTATTTTGATTGATTGCATCTCCTGTAGTGGTGCATTAATGTCCCTCTTCAAGTTGGAGAAGTTCTATTTTTTTGAATTATTTGTTTTTCCCCTTTCCCTCTTTCCTCTCCTTATGAAATTCTTTGAATCTGAGATAATTCTTCTCAGTATTCTCAACAATATCTCTTAAATTTTCTTCACTCTTTAAAATCTCTTTTCTATTACTCTTCTTTAGTGACGGAATTGTTGCTTGTCTTTGTGCTCTCTGGTGGTTTTCAGATCCATCTGCTGTGTCCTGAGACTTGCTACAGTATTCTTTAATTCCTTTATTTCTATTTGAAAGTCTTCTATCATTTTTTATTAGGCTTTCTTAAATTTTATTGTGACTTATTCAATTGTGTCTTTTTTTTTGTATCATTAAACATTGAAAGCATTGTTGTTCTACTGTCTTCTTCAGTCAGTTTATTTATTTATTTTTCTGCCACACCTGCTGGTACTCAGGAATACTCCTGGCTGGCTCTGTGCTCAGGACTCACTCTTGGCAGCATTCAAGGTTGTTAGGTGGAAATGGTTCAAAATGGACCACTGGCATGCAAGGCAAGTGCCTTAACTCCTATTGTATATCTTTCTCACACAGTTTAGAGATTTTAGGTAGTTGAGGATCTTCCTTGAATTTTGTCACTCTCTGTTGAATTCATTTTTCATTGTTGAATTCATTTATGCGTTATTCTTAGTGTTGCATCATTTGCAGGGCGGGACTTTAGCCACCATGATTCTGGGCCGTCTCTCTCTTGCCTGTGGGCTTTGCTCCCTTCCTGGCTTGGGTTCATTTTGGAGACCGCTCGAGCTCTACCTCTTCCAGCTGCAGGGTGAGACTCTGTTCTCCTGTCTCCAGGAGCCTGTCTTGCCCACAGCTGCGTAACCCCATATCCTCAGTATAAACTGGGGGGCAGTATGTGGTATTTTAGCTGGGGGTTGTGAGAGAGCCGTTGCTGAGCTGCCTTGCTGCCAGTGTGGCTGCTTGCAAGGCTTTGAGGTTCTTCTCAAAGAGGAGAGTGCTTCCTGGGCAGAGGGTGCTAGGGTAGGCTTGGTTAGTGCCCTGCCATTGGTATGGCTGCTCTCGGGGTTCGGGGACTCCAAAGCACTGATATTCCCGACATAGTCCTGTGTATCGTCATATCTTTTTATAATAGAAAACTAGAAAAGAAAAATCTTAGCAGGAAGGCTGGTGCTTTCAATGGAATAGTCATCGAGTGTATACAATACATGAATGAACCACAACACAATATTTCCCAGTGTTCAAACTGAAAACTTAAGTTGTGTTTACGAAAGAGGAGTTTGCAGTATGGGCACACTTCGTTAAAGTTTTTAAAGATTGAAGGCAATGCAATTTACTTTCAGGTTCTGTAGACATACCTAAGCCCTCAGAGTATGGAAAGAACCAAATTCAACTGAGTCATTCCTTCTGAGGAAGAGTGAAGGGCGGAGGCAGGGCTGGGGGAGGGTGCAGAGCTCCAAGATTGCTCCATGGGTGTTGGGCTCCCATCTTTCCCCACAGATGTGCGACCGGAGAGGCTTGGCAGGACATCATGCTGGCCTGCATGCCAGGGAAGAAGTGTGCCCCAGAGTCGGAGCCCGGCAACAGCACTGAAGGGGAGACACCCTGTGGCAGCAGCTTCGCAGTCTTCTACTTCATCAGCTTCTACATGCTCTGTGCCTTCCTGGTAAGCAGCAGGGCATGGAATGACCACATGCAGCAAGAGTGCAGTTCACAATAACCCCAACCCACTATGTCTGCAGCTTATGGTTAAGGCAGCTTGGTCCGAGTGGAAAGACAGAGTGACAGGGGCATCTGACTTCACACAGAGAGATAAGAACTGTGAGAGGAGGCCAGTGAGCTGAACCAGCCACGTTCTTGTCCATTCTTGGCTGTTAGCAAGGTGACAATGTCCCAGAAGAGGGACTGAGTGTGGAAGCCTAGAGACAGCTTACACTTTCTTTAGAGAGGGGGATAGAAAAATCTAACTCTGTCCTTCGGAATGTGCAGTATGATATCAGGGAAGCTGTCCAATTCACATGAGGGGTTCATCCTATACAACCCTGAGAGGAACGTATCAATTTCACGTCCATGAAACCCTAGTGTGTGGTTGATGTTTTATTTATTTTATTATTATTATTAATTATTATTATTATTTTCCTTTTTGGGTCACACACAGTGATGCACAGGGGTCATTCCTGGCTCTGCATTCAGGAATTACCCCTGGCAGTGCTCAGGGGACCATATGGGATGCTGGGAATCGAACCCAGGTTGGCTGCATGCAAGGCAAATGTCCTACTTGCTGTGCTAGCTCAAGCCCCTGTGGTTGATGCTTTAAATGGTGACATATGCCTCCAGTAAGGTAGGATGCTTGCCTTGCACAAGGATGACCAGGTTCAATCTCAGTACTCCATTTGGCTCTGTGGGTTCTGCCAGGAGTAACCCCTGACCTTACAGTTAGATGTAAGCCCTGAGCACTGCCATGTGTAGCCCCAAAGCAAAATAAAACAAAAAGGAAATATCAATTTCTGCCACATATGACACCAGTAGGAAAGTAGATTCTAGGGAAACTGTGTAATAACTTATTATACTCTCTCTTCATTGCAGATCATCAATCTCTTTGTAGCTGTTATAATGGACAACTTTGACTACCTAACAAGAGACTGGTCAATCCTTGGTCCCCACCATCTGGATGAATTTAAAAGAATTTGGGCAGAATATGACCCTGAAGCCAAGTAAGTCCCCATAGGAAAATCCTGATTCATAAACCCAAGAGAGGGATTGATCTCTGGCACCTTTAAGAGATGTAGCACTGAGATGGATTAACATTAAAGAGATCAATTGGAAACACTGACTAGATCCTATGGTCAAGGGTCAACAGTCTGAGACTTAGCTTGTCTAAGTCAAGAACATATCTTTTTCAATTGAATAAAAGGATAGAAGAGCCTAGTATCAGGAATAACTAGAAGTACTTGGAAAATTCTGAATAACCTAAATATCCATTCCATTCCAGACTTAAGTCCAAGAAATGCTCCATTCAGTAACTTTTGATCAGATAATTAGTTGGTTTATGCAGCAAAAATCTATTGCAGATTTCATTGCACTGCTAAAATGAAATTGCTTATTAGAATATAAAGCTCTCTGTTTGTTTTGCCATGTAACCAGTAGGGCCAAACTATGAGGGATTACACCTGCAGGTGGGCCCCACCTCTTAATTTGGCTGCTGACAAAATCCCTGCCTTGTGACTGACCTTTCTCTCCTTTCCCTCCTCTTGTAGGGGTCGTATCAAACACCTAGATGTGGTTACTCTTCTCCGGCGGATTCAGCCCCCATTGGGTTTCGGGAAGCTGTGCCCTCACCGCGTGGCTTGCAAAGTAAGATACGAGCTGAGTCACTCAATAATAAGATGCCTCCTGGTCTTGTGGCCTTGATCAGGCCATTGATCCCTCAAGAGCCAATATTTAAGTGCCTAAAGAAATGGGACTAAGTCCATGTAAGATTCCTTCCAGCAATAAATTCTGACTGTAAAGGAGCAACAGAGTGAGCCACCTGCCCAGTTCTGAATGAAGGACCCACTCAAAGTTTGATTTTACACCACCCACACATGCTAGGAGTCTAATGAACCTAAAATGGATGTTTAGTGGTTCTTTTCCTGGAATCAGGGGGATATAAGATTATACGAATGTCTTCAGGAATGGTGAAGTCCAGAAATGAAACAAAAATCACCAACATACTGACAGATTGTACAAGGAAGAGCATCCATTATTTCCATCAGATTTCCAAGCGAGACCATAACTCCCTTGAGGAAAGCATCCTAGATTATGCTCAGCACAACTCCTACTCATGTGATGTCTTCAGGAGCCTGAGAGGGGCTGCCTCTCAAAGTATGGGCGCAGTCTTTCCTGTCCTTGCTGTACTGTGGACCAAATAGCCCTAGCAATGCTGAAGAGTTTTAGTTGCCTCTTCCTGCTCCCTTTAACTATAAGGCAACTCCCATTCTCACCACTCTACTCCTACTGGAGTAAAGAACTAAAATAAGATTCAGGGGAAGTGAAGTCAGAGAGCTGAGAGAGGAAGAAACACAAATGGAAAAGTCAGCTCTGTGGATAATCTTCTCGTTGAAAATGTAGATCTGAGGGGATATAGAATTTTTTATCTGTACTCTTTCATTCTCCCCCCCCCCCCCCCCATTGATCCCTGTACCGCGATACACATGCACACAGAAAGAAAGAAAGAGATTTTCAAGAGTCTAGAAGATATGAGATAAAACAAAGAGCACTCATTCAAAGTAAGGTAAAAGCACAGTGGAAAACCAGAGCAAGGGTGACTGCTGACTGCATGTGGAAAAGGATTTGATAAGGGCAAAATACATCCTCCCTACATCTGAGAGCAAGGATTCTCTCTAGGAGAGGTTGTATACATTTCAGTGATCCTTTCTATATGTCCCCACCTGCTCTTAACACACACACACACCTGCATACATAACAAGCACACACACATGTTACATACAAGCATGCCATACACACACAAATACACACTACACTTAACACACAGGAACATACATGTTTCTGGGATCTCTCCCAGCACTCACATACTTGGTGATTCCTTTGACCATTTACTATAATCATCAGTTTTGTCCTCTTTCCCTATAGCGCCTGGTCTCCATGAACATGCCTCTGAATAGTGATGGCACAGTCATGTTCAATGCCACCCTGTTTGCGTTGGTCCGGACAGCCCTGAGAATCAAAACAGAAGGTAAGAGTCCTGCTGGTCCCTGGGAGCACCACTTTGAAGTTCTCACAGAACAAGAAAAAATGGTGCTCCCAGGACTTGTCCATCATTTTGTTTTGTTTTGTTTTGCTTTTCGTGTCACAGCTGGCAATGCACAGGGGTCACTCCTGGTTCATGCACTCAGGAATTACTCCTGGCGGTGCTGGGGGACCTTATGGGATGCTGGGAATCGAACCGGGGTCAGCCGCTTGCAAGGCAAACACCCTACCTGCTGTGCTATAGCTCCAGCCCCGCTTGTCCATCTTTTACCAGAATTGTGGTTCCTAACCTTTGTATCCAGGAACATTATGGAATTCTGTTTTGTCATGTTCACCCTTCTTAAATGGTCCTCTGGTCTCTAGAACTTGAACTTCCATGAACTTCTAGTTGTGGGTGATATCTTAATATCATATAGGCAGAAACAGATGAGAGTTATCTGGAGCATGACCAAAGCCCCACCTAAATGAAGCAGGACCATGAGTGTGTCTCTTGAATGCCCAAATTTCCTTGTGAATTAAAAGAACCTGTGTCGGGAAGGATATCCTGGTGACAAATGGTGACCAGGGTTAGGCATTATCACATAGCTGTCACCTACCTGGCACGGGTGGAACTTTCTATCTCACCTGTGTTCAGAGGTGAGGCTGTGCTCCTTCAGGGCTAAAATGGTCCGACTAAGCACTAATTTCCCCCCGCCAAGGCACCTTCAAGGCTAGTAGTTGCCTTGTCATTAAAATTGATTAATATTTCTGAACCACCTTGTGGGGAAGCAGGGAACAACTATGGGAAGTGTCCTTAGGAAGATGGACACTTCTTACTCCCTAGGGCTTCTAGTTTACCAGTGTTTCCTAGACCAGCCCAGCTGCCTCGGAATAAATCCAGGAACTTGTTTAAATAGTTGCTTGCCCCATCCCAGACCAGATCTACTGCATCTGAGTATCTCTGAGTATGGAGTTCAGGAATCTACAACTGAGCCAGATTCATGGACAACTGATATGTGTACTAAAGCTTGAAAAAAACCACTGGTAGAGTAATTACACAGATAAACAAATAGTATGCTTCATTTCCCCTCTTATATTTCAATCTTAAGAGCTTAAGGCTGCCAGTTATCGCTACTTTTTTTTCATAATTTTTGTACCTGTATGCTATAGAAAGAGCTGGGAGACTTGAGTCTCTTGATACGTTTAATAAGTCATTTATTTACATTCCACTTCATTTTTTCTTTTGTAAGAAAGATAATGGCTGAGTGAATATAGTCAATAACGTGGAGAAATCCCTTCTCTCAGTTAAATCTTCCCATAAAATGATAAAAAAAAACATCTGAAATGAAGGTGTTATACAATACTCAGTTTCTTGTTCTTAGGCAGTCAAGATTGAAAGCAAAGGACTGAAGACAGATTTATGAAATTCAGTAGAAACTTTGAGAAACGGATGAAAAGGATAGAGAAGCTGGGGACTGGGGTATCCCAGGGAATGGTGGAGACCCATTTTTTATATTCTCATACTATGGGAACTGATGGGCATCCAGCATCAGGTTTGAGACATGCAAGATGGGAAGACGAAGGAGCAAGGGATGAGCAAGATGTTTGAGAGGATTATCTTCTTGGATTATCATCTTGGTGTATATCCTGGTCTCAGTTTCAAAAATTTTCCTCTGGAGCCATTCATTTTAATCTCGTCATGCCCATTTCCCTCTTTTACCTATGTAGTTATATCAAAATGAAACATGAAAGAGTTCTTCTGAAGGATAAATGTCAAATAATGAGCTAATTTTAAAAAATAAGAATCAGTTTGAATTGTACCACTAACTAAAAAGAAACTAAAGCTAAAGAAGGCACTCTCAGTTGCCAGTGCAATAACTGGGTCTGAAATCCATATAAACTGATCTATTTCTGAATCAAATAATTCAATACACGTTCAATGTGTGTGTGTGTTTGTTGTTGTTGTGTGTTTGTAAAATAGGAACAAAGTTGGAAGGAAATTTGGTGATGTCAACATTGAGAATCATGGTAGAATCAGCAGTGACCTTGATCTTTATGTTGGCTGCTTTGGATTTTTCTACAATGTTAATGACTGCATTTATGGCCAGGGAAAGAGTTTTATCCTTCTCAGAGAGAAAATAGAATGCTTATTAGAAGAAATGTGCTATGATACTGAAAGTGTGGTGTGTTGAAGTTGTGTGTCTCCATTTCACAGAAGAACAGGAACATGGGTGCAGGCAGAAGCCAGGATTCTGCTGTTGGAGAGGGCCTGTCAGAGCAAAGGAGACGGCCGAAGGGACCAGCAGCTGAGAATAGTGCTGAAGAAGCTGCTCTGAAAGATCAGTGGCTGATAATACTGCAAAAAAAAAAAACCCAATGAGGAAAAAGCAAATGCATGCAGTCAATCTCAAACAAATGGGCTTTCCAGAAAAAGGAAAGATAACAGCCACAGGAAAATAGTTAAAGAATTAAAGGAACACTAGTATCCTGTCTCCACTGTATCTATTATTCCCAATGTTTTACTGTGTATTCTATAGATCACATGTTAAGTGTTTTTTTAAATTTATTTTATTGAATCACCATACAGTGGGTAGGGCGTTTACCTTGCATGCTGCCAACCCGGTTCAATTCTTCCATCCCTCTCCGAGAGTCCGGCAAGCTACCGAGAGTATCCCGTCTGCATGGCAGAGCCTGGCAAGCTACCCGTGGCGTATTCAATATGCCAAGAACAGTAACAACAAGTCTCACAATGGAGACGTTACTGGTGCCCACTCGAGCAAATTGATGAACAATGGGGGGCTCAGTGCTACAGGGCTACAGAATCACCTTGAGATATAGTTGCAAGCTTTCATGTTTGAGTTACAGTCACACAATGATCAAACAACCATCCCTCCACCAGTGCACATTCTCCACCACCATTCTCCCCAGTATACCCCTCCTTCCCCACCCTCCTCCTGCCTCCATGGCAGACAATATTCCCCATACTCTCTACTTAGGGCATAATGGTTTGCAATGCAGATAATGAGAGGTTATCATGCTTGCTCCTTTATCTATTTTCGTTAAGTGTTTTTAAAACACAATTAAACAAATTTTGAAAAGAATAGCAGCTAAAGATCCCCCAGCACCTGTACAGGTACAAGCCTTCTTCTGAAACCAAACACCCCACAAATTTTGACGAGTAGGAGGAAAATTAGTTCTTAGAAACAGATGCAAGAAAATAGGAAAATTTGTGAGACTAAACCTAACCTTAGTCCTCAGTCTTCAAACTTTTGAAAGTAAAAAAAAAGTAGAGAGAAATTAACACCTACTTTAGAGAACCAGCCCAAAATCAAACCACCTTTTGATATGTAGGAGGAGAATATTATAATACCTAATAATATGAAAACACTCAGTAAAGCTTCCCATTCTGATACAGCACACTGTAAGAATAAGTAAAGCTTTGAAAAAGCATGAAAATCCTTTAGGGATCTATTTTAGTTGCTTGGTCTAGTATAATAAATTAGCACAAAGTAGGCGGCTTGAGAGAGAATGTATCACAGTTGCCCAAGTCTAAATCAGGGTGAAGGGGGAGACTCTGAGGAGACTGTCTGTGCCCCTCCACGTCTGATGGGGGCAGCAGCACTTGGCTTTTGTTGGTCATAGTTAGTTCATCACTCCAATCTCAGCATTGGAACCCACCCATATCCAGTAGGACCTCCTCTTGACTAGTCAATCTGAAGAGATACTGTTTCTTTCCAAGTTTCTTTCTCCACAGGCTGAGGTCCCAGGATATGACTTGGGGAGGGAAGCCACAAAAGATAAGCATATTTGAACATGATATTATTAGGGCTATTTTATAGCCTGGGTCTGGTTGTCTCTAATTGGAATGCTCAGGAATCGTCCTTCAACTATTTGAATTCTACGTTCGAATGGCAATCATCTCTCTGTCCTCTCTCTGTCCTCTCTCTGTCTCCCTCTGTCTCTCTCTATTCATCTCTCTCTCTCCTTCTCTCTTTCTCTCTCTCTCTCTTCCCTCTCCTCCCCCCACTGCCATCACTGCTTGCTCCTGCCTTGCCTCCATAGAGGGAGCCTTTCCCACATCACCAAAGGGTGGATTTCAGTTCAGGTCATCTGATGGCAGATCTCCCCATTGCTATGCCATTCCATCTGCCTCGTGTCATGGCGGAAGCAGTCCCTGGATTGGATATGTTATTGCTTCATAACAGATGCCCACAAATATTAAAAACGACACCCGGTTTTGAGCTTGCAGCTCTCGGCATCTCATTGCCAAACCAGGAAGGGGGCTGATCATTTCCAGGGATTAGACCCATTCCACATCTCCTCCTGTTGTTGGCAGACTTTCTTTCCAGAAGTCTTGGGGTTGGCTGTCTGCAGGGAAGAACTCAGTTCCAGCAGCCGTCTTTGGGGCTTCCATTCACAGCCTGGACCTTGTGGGCTTTTTTCCGAGCCTACAGATCTTTTTCCTCCTCCTTCATTTTGAGCTCAGAAGAGCTAAGGTAATCTGATCTTAATCTAACCTGTTGACTTCTGGGTATAATTTTTTGTTTGATTTGTCTGGTATTTTGCCTTTTTTATTTTTTGTTTTTTTGTTTTGCGGCCACACTTGGTGATACTCAGGGCTTACTCCTGGCTCTGTGCTCAGAGGTCACCCCTGGTGGGCTTGGAAGACCTTACCGGGGTGCCAGGGATTGAACCTGGATGGATTGTGTGAAAGACCAGGTCCCTCCCAGCTGTGCTATTGTTACTAACGCAACAGCAAATTCACTGTCTCTGCTGGTTTTGTTTTTCCCTCAGATAGTTTTTCTTTCTAGGAACATTTATTGAGACATTGTAATTTACAAAGTTGTTCATAATAGAGTTGTCTTAGGCATACAACACCAATCCTACTATCAGTTTGCCTCCAAACGTCAGTCTATCCCGTTGGCAGGCATATAACAAATTTATTTTATATTTTTGGTCCAATGAAACTGAAAGTAATGGCAAATAGAATTATCAAAAATAAATCAA